TGCATCAATGTACTTAGGTTGTATTGGTATATTAAAAAAATTAGAGAGAGAGAGAGAGAGAGAAGGGAGGAATGGGGAAAGAGAGAAAGGAGGAGGAGAGAGAGGGAGGGAGGGAAGGACAGGGAGAGGGAGAGAGAGAGAGAGTAGCCTTGTTGGTCTCACCTTTTTTTACATTTAAATGGCTGACTTGAATTGATGGCATAGTTGATTGAATTATAGGCATGAGTCATCTAATATTGACTAAATCTATGTTTGATTAAAAATTGTTGATATATAATAATCAAACTCCCAGGGAACCAATATTTTCTGTGATTAGTGTCTTTTCACCATGATCTTGAAGAATTTCTCTGCCCTCTGATTAGTTGAGAGCACTAAGGTCAACTAACCCGAAAACAGTTTTGGGGTTGCCCCAGGGGAGCTTTCTGAAACTCTTTTCATCTCCCACTCAGCATCCCCTGGAAAAAGCAAGGCTTTTTCCAACTAAGTACAAAATTATTTCATCTCCTATTTCTCCCCTTTCTATTTTAAGTTTGATAGTCTAAATTTTGGTGGCCTTGAAATGGGTTTTGAATTTATAACATTATTCCTATTGAACTAAATGCCTCGTATATCATTTGATCAAATTCTGTTTTCATGGAAACAGTTGATGACATTTCTTGACTATAACTTAACTAAATTTCAGTTAACTGGAACTCAACTCAACTAAGCTACACTTACAAGTATTTTGCCTTTGAAGAGGAGATAAATTATATATAAACAATTTTGTATCAGAGATATGGTCTTTAAGTCAGTCTTTAAGTAGAGAGGTGGTTCAAGAGAAAGAACTCCAAGCCTGGAGTTGGAAAGATCTTGGTTCAAATCCATTCTCAGATACTTACCAGCTGTGTGACCCTGGGTAAGTCCCTTAACTTCTGTTTGCCCCAGTTTCTTCAACTGTAGAATGAGGATGATAATGACACCTACTTTGTAGAGTTGCTGTAAAATCAATCGAAATAATATTTGTAAATTGCTTAGCCCAGTACTTGGTATATAGTAGGCAGTATATAAATGTTTATTCCCTCTTTGACATTTATAATGCCATTTCTATACATGCTAATAAGTATTCATAGTAATTATACAGAAATGGTACAATTTCCACAAATTGTACCACAAATTTCCACAAATCCAAAGGGGGCTTTCTTGCCAGCAAAAACTCAGCCATTGTAATTGTGATGTTGTGATCCATCCCTTTCAGTCTTCTTTGAAGGTTATGGCAAAAGTACTACCATTGGCTCCTTAGTAGCCAAGCAGGATTATGTGCAGCTGACTTTGATTTGTTTAGAACCCAATTATAGAAGTCACAGGGCAGAGCCCGTAGAGTCCTGATGTTCCTGTCAGGAAAGTTCTAGTCTTCCTTCTGACATATCCTACCTACATGACAATTCCCAATTCCCCAAGTCATCCTGTAGGACTTAAAGTTTTGAAACTTGTTTCTTTGGCTTTTAAAAAAGCAGAATTTACTCTGTCTCTCTGTCTCTCTCTCTCTCTCTCCATATCTCCATATCTACCTATATACATATGTATATGTATATATGTATATACACATATACATACATATATACATATATAAAATTTGGTAAACTTTCTTCTATAGTCATATCATTGACTAAGGGATTTTGCTTTTGTGAATTATATTGATTTACCCACAACATCTAAGTCATGTTGCAGTTTTTCCAGGCAGAACCAGGTTTGTAGAATGTCTGCCTTCGTAAGCACGACATATTTATGAAGTCTAAATAATAAACGTACCTTCTTTGGGTCTGTTATTTCAGTTCCATAAATAAACATATTGCAGTTTTTTTTTTTTTTATCATGGTAGTGTTTGGGAATAGGCCTGACATTTGCCTCGTGGTGTCTTCTATCAAGATCTTTCTTTTTGTCAATTCTTTCTGTTTCAGAAATACTACTTGGCCCCCATGGTAGTTCCCAATCGATACAACAATGAGCTTGTTTAGTTTGGCATTCAACTGTGTTTTATAAAATCATTCAAGTCGTTCAAACAATTTAACATGTTCCTAAGGCAATTGTTTAGCACACTGCCTGGCACATAAGCTCTTGATAAATGGTTGTTGATTAATTGATTGGTTGAATATACAAAGTGTTGTGTTTTTTTTTTTTTTCTAAACGGCATAGCCCTTTTCCTCAAGGAGTTTACATTTTATTGGGTGAGGGATACATGTAAGTGTAATGAACTCTTCTAAGTATAATACAAGGTAGGGAGTGAGGAGGGCCATTCACCTCTAGATTAAATACTTTAGAATATTTCAGGGGTGAGAGAGAACTCATTCAGCTGGCTGTATATCAAGGATGCCTTTATTGAAAAAACAAAACAAAACAAAACAAAACTGGAATCTAGTCACCTAAGGTTTCCTGAAGATTGGGAGGGGGCGGGCATAGGATAGGATGGGATCAGAGACTCAGTGTGTTTGTGAAGCTTAGCTCCATCCTTTTCAGTGGCCTTTGAAAGTTTGTGGCAAAAATATCACAGATAATAAATGCTAGGTTTTGGATAAAAGTGGGTCATTTGTCTAAGTCTTAAAGATGAGCTTTGAAGGATGAGAAAAACTTGAGAAGTACCGAGGAGAAGGTGATGTATTCTGGGTGTGATGGATCTGCTGAGGGGGAAAAAACAAACAACCCCCCTAAAAAGCAAACAAACAAACAAACAAAAACAAACCAGGAAATAAAGTCATTATTGTCATCAATAATCCCTTGCTTCAGAGATCTGTCATTTAACAGGTTTGGGTGTTCCCTCCACACACAAAAGGTAATTTAGTCAATGGTTTTGAGTGTAACTATGATCAGCAAATTGGAACATCTTGTGATTAGCCTGGTAAAAGTCACAAATAGATTACAAACATTTCTCTTCATCTATACATTCTGTATAGCAAAACATTTTTTAGTATTAATACCTTTTCCCACCTTTTACCATTTTCACCTTCTACCTTGTATCATACTTAGGTATGGTTCCTAATCCCCCATTAATATTTTGAAAGTCCATAAATACCAGGAGTATTTCTTGTTTCATTCTTAATATTATCCCAGGGTCTTGTGCTGCATAGCATATGCTTGATAAATGTTTGCTGATATAAATGTTGCCAAAGGACAAATATCTAAAGATATTTGGAGCGTTAGGTTTGTTGAAGGTCGTGGTGGTCTGCTAAATTTTCAGAATTACAATTTTGTTCATTTCATTAGCAAAATTCCAAAGTAGCCAAGATGTCATTTAAGGTTCAAGATAAGGAAAAGTTCCTAGCCACTGGAGTTATCTCAAATGGAAAGGGCTAACATGAAGAAAACAGTCTAACAATGAGTGCCGTCCCATAAGGTAATAGGCCATTTTGGGAGGAAAGAGAAGGTTGGGTGATCCCTTGTCATGGATGATCTAGAGGGTAAGGGCTTAGCACGGTGCCTGGCACACAGAAGGTGCTTAATGAGTGCTTTTGTTGGCTTGATTAAAAGACATGTTGTTTAGATCTACGTCGGACCAGATGGTCTTGGAAGTCTTTTTGAACTCTTAAGATTTTGTGATTATTTGAATAACAAAAACAAAAATAATAATTTAAAAAAGCATGCGTATTCCCATTTGGTGGGTTTTAGGAGAGCAATTGATGATTTACCTGTTGTCAGGGAAATGAAATGATTATGAGCAACCCAGAGCTGCCGAGTTAATAATTGGCCGCAGTGGGCAGCATCCAAACCCTTATTCGGAAGTCTCCCTCAGAGGTACATCATGCCTTCCAGATCAGACCCCCTCCTTAATATGTGATGCTTCTGTGATGGAATCGCTTTCTCCCCCGAGGATGACTTATGTTTTGCCAGACGTCCTGACAACACTGCGATTCTCCTTTTCCCCACATGACCTCAGCTTTTGCTCGAAAAAATGCTGGCATAAAGGGTGCTTTTGTTCCTATTTGGCGTGCCTGTGATATATTGACAAAGTGTCTGCGGGCTGAATGGAGTAGTTTTACAGTATAGCCGAGAGCTGCGGGGAGGACGGCTGGACGTCTTACTTATGGTTTGGAAGGAAGTGAATTGGATAGGTCGGGAGAATGTACCATTCGTAAACACCCCCTTTCCTCTTGAGTTCACGTGTCAGTACAGCAGGCTGGCTCCCGGGAGCCTGCCCAGAGCACAGCAGAGCAGAGCAGAGCTGAGGAGAGGGAAGGCATCTGGAAAGTGAACTGCGGGCTGAAAGCTTGCCTCTGCCGCCGTGATTTCCAGTCGCTGGTGTGCTTATGTGGGAGCTGTTTGGAAAACTAACATGGTTTAATCCACTAACTGCATGTTGGGTAAATTCGAAACCCACATGCTCGTCTTCTTGCCGTGGAATAAGTCCCATCTGATGGACATTTTCTGTGCTTAGAGCATAGTAATGAACGTCTGACAGGCGCGACCTTTCATAAGACAACCCACACTATTGGCTTTCTGCCCAGAATATTGCTGCAACCCTATCTGTGATTGGTTCTTCCCCTATCATGCATTGCTTCGCAAAGGGAAGCGACCCCCTTTTTAATAAATCTACGATGGCTGGCTGCAATGGGCTGCACCGTAAGTATTCTGTGTGGAAGGAAGAGACAGACCCCAGTGGTGGATAGTCTAGGGTCACACGGCAAGGTGGTGAGACTGTGGGACATCGGTGAAGTGCTGCTTGGTAAATGGTAACCTATCTCTTTTTTCTACAGGTTGGTACTAAGAAGTGCCTTTCCTGACGTCTCTGCTGCTTGGACCGCTTCTAGAGCAGACTCTGCTTTTGCCTTGCTTGCTGCCAGCTAGACCGCGAAGACAGCACCTCCACCCTCCACCCTCCGCCTCTAGCCCAGACACCCCCATTTCTACTTAGAATCAAGAGAAAGCCTCTGAGTATCTG